ATTGTATGGATATGCATTATTTGGGTATATGCCCAGGAGTGGAATTGCTGGATCTTGAGGTAGACTGATTCCCATTTTTCTGAGCAACTGCCGTATTGATTTCCAAAGTGGTCTTACAAGTTTGCACTCCCACCAGCAATGGAAGAGTGTTCATTTTTCTCCACATCGTATCCAGCACAGATTGTCATTGGTGTTTTAGATTTTAGCCATACTGGCCTGTGTAAGCAGGTATCTCAGAGTTGTTTGAGTTGGATTTCTCTGATGGCCAAGGATTTTGAACACTTTCTTAAGTGTCTTTCAGCCATTTCAGATTCCTCTGTTGAGAATTCTCTATTTAGTTCTGCACCCCACTTTTTAATTTCATTGTTTGGTGTTTTGGTGGCTAGCTTCTTGAGTTCACTCTATATTTTGGAAATCAGCCCTCTGTCACATGTGGGGTTGCTGAAGATCTTTTTCCCATTCTGTGGGCTGTCATTTTGTCTTACTGGCTGTGTCCTTTGCCTTATAGAAGCTTCTCAGTTTCAGGAGGTCCCATTTATTAATTGCAGACCTCAGTGTCTGTGCTACTGGCATAATCAGGAAGCAGTCTTCTGTGCCAATTCATTCAAGGGTATCTCTCACTTTCTCTTCTATAAGATTCAGTGTAGCTGGATTTATGTTGAGATCTTTGATCAATTTGCACTTAAGTTTTGTGCATGCTGACAGATATGGATCTATCTGCAATCTTCTACATCCAAACTCAGTTATTCCTGCACCATTTTTGAAGATGCTTTCTTTTTTCTATTGTATAACTTTGGCTTTAAAAGACTCCTTTTTTTTCTTGAGTGTGTGGGTTAATATCAGTGTTTTCAATTTGATTCCATTGGCCTATCTATTTTTGGGCCAATACCAAGCTGTTTTCAGAAATATGGCTCTATAATAGAGCTTGAAGTCAGGGATGGTGATGCCTCCAGAAAATACTTTATTTATTGTACAGAGTTGTTTTGGCTATCCTGTTTTTTTTTCATATAAAGTTGGGTATTGTTTTTCAAGGTCTGTGAAGAACTGTGTTGGGATTTTGATGGGGATTGAATTGAATCTGTAGATTACTTTTGGCAAGATTATAATTTTTACTATGTTGATTTTACCTATCCAAGAGCATTGGAGAACTTTCCATTTTCTGATATCTTCTTTAATTTCTTTCTTTAAAGACTGAAAGTTCTTACTGTACAGGTCTTTCACCTTTTTGGTTAGTGTTACCCCAAGATATTTTATGTTGCTTATGGATAATGTAAAGGGTGATGTTTCTCTGATTTCTTCTTATTGCATTTATCATCCATATATAGTAGGGCTACTGATTTTTTTTATTAATTTTGTATCCTGCTACCTTGCTTAAGGTGTTTATCAACTGTAGAATTTCCCTGGTAGAGTTTTTCAGGTCACTTATGTAGATTATCATATCATCTGCAAATAGTGAAAGTTTGACGTCTTCCTTTCCAATTTGTATCTTTTTGCTTTCCTTGTCTTGTCTTACTACTCTAGCTTGAACTTCAAGTACAATATTGAAGAATATGGAGAGAGTGGAAATCCTTGAATTGTTCCTGATTTTAGAGTAATTTCTTTGAGTTTCTCTCCATTTAGTTTGATGTTGGCTGTTGGTTTGGTGTATGTTGCTTTTATCATGGTTAGATATGTTACTGGTATTCCTGTTCTCTCCAAGATCTTTATCATGAAGGGATGTTGGAATTTGTCAAAGGCTTTTTCAGCATCTAGTGAGATGATCATGTGGTTTTCCTTTTTCAGTTTGTTTATATGGTGGATTACATTGATGGGTTTTCATATGTTATACCATCCTTGCATCTGTGGGATGAAGCCAACTTGATCATGGTGGATGATTTTTCTGATGTGTTCTTGGATTTGTTCAGCCAATATTTTGTTGAGTATTTTTGCATTGATGTTCATGAGGGATATTGGTCTGTAGTTCTCTTTTTTAGTTGTATCACTGTGTGGATTGGGTATCAAGGTGATTGTAGCCCTGTAAAAAGGGTTTGGCAATATCCCTTCTGCTTCTAATGTATGGAATAGTTTGAGGAGTACGGGTGTTAGCTGGTAGAATTCCTGGTAGAATTCTTCAGTGAAGCCACCTGGCCTTGAGCTTTTTTTGGTTGGAAGACTTTTGCTGACTGCTTCTATTTCATTAGGGGCTACAAGTCGGTTTAAAGTGCTTATCTGTTGATTGATTTAATTTTTGTAAGTGGTATCTATCCAGAAAATTGTCCATTTCCTTTAGATTTTCAAATTTTGTGGAGTACAGGTTTTCAAAGTATGAGCTGCTGATTCTCTAGATTTCCTTAGTGTCTGTTGTTATATCCCCCTTTTTGTTTCTGATTTTGTTAATTACCATGCTCTCTTTCTCTCTCTCTGCCTTTTCGTTACTTTGGATAGAGGTTTGTCTATCTTGTTGATCTTCTCAAAGAACCAAGTCTTTGTTTCATTGATTCTTTGTAATGTTTTCTTAGCTTCTACTTTATTTATTTCAGGCCTCAGTTTGATTATTTCCTGGTCTTTACTTCTACGTGGCGAGTTTACTTCTTTTTGCTCTAAAGCTTTCAGTTGTTCCATCAATTCTCTAGTGTGACTTTTCTCCAGTTTTTTCATGTGGGCACTTAGTGCTATGATCTTTCCTATTAGCACTGCTTTCAGAGTGTCCCATAAGTTTGGATATGTTGTGTCTACATTCTCTTTAAATTCTAGGATGTCTTTAATTTCGTTTTTATTTCTTCCCCATCCCAGGAATGGTGTAATTGTGTGTTATTCAATTTCTATGTAGGTTTTCTGCAATTTGTATTTCTGTTGAATTCTAACTTTAAAGCATGTTGATCTGATAAGATACAGGGGTCATTTCAATTCTTTTGTATCGGTGGAGGTTTTGTATCTGTGGCCAACTATGTGGTCAATTTTAGAGAAGGTGCCATGTGGCACTGAGAAGTAGGTATATTCTTTTATGTTTGTGTTGTGTTTTGTGTTCTATAGATATATGTTAAACCTAGTTGGGTCATAACTTCTGTTAGATCCTTTGTTTCTTTGTTAAGTTTCTGTCTGGTGGTCCTGTCTAGTGGTGAAAGGGGGTGTTGAAGTATCCTACTATTGGACTTTTCCTGTGATGAGTATGAAATGCCCTTCTTTATCTCTTTTGATTGAT